GTCTACTCCACTGCTCTTTCGTCCACATGTCATCTATTCCTCTGATTATGTGACTGGGCCATGTGTCTTTCGCTATTGAAGTATATCTTCCTGGATCCCGAAGATGGGATGTTTCGAATATCTGAGTTGTGCATCCCGGGGTTGTGAGTCGCCGGTTGAATTTCGGAAGACATCGTTCAAGTACTCCATGAGTGGTGCGCATATTTCTTGACGTGGTTTCTCAGCACACGTTTCTCCTGCATAACAACGCCGGACGGACTATTAAATGGAAAACATGGGCGTGAAGCTTCGGCTCCGTTAGTTGGTCGGTAGCTTCCTTGAGTGGCCCGAATGCCACTCATGGCGCTCTTCATAAACGTTAACGGCGCACCTACGAGGTGGTTTCTGTAATGACAGAACCATCCATGTCGAATTGTTCACTTCGCATTATGCGTTCTTGATAAACTGGGTCTCGTCCTATATTTGTGCAGTCCAATTTTTCCTTTCCGCCTTCTTGAGTTCATTAAGCATTGTTTGTTTTTCAATGATACTCCTCGAAGCAGAGATTTATTAGGAATTTTCCACCAATACGTATTGCTTCTCGTTCCACTGTCCCAATCGAGTGATTTCATAATCAAATACAGTGAGCGATAAACAATTTTGTTGATGTTATACCTTTTTATTTTCTGCCTACTATAATTTCGCGGCAGGGTAGTAAGCGAAATACAACCACAACGTTGCTGAGATATTTGCAAAACTCTGGACCGCAGGTGTCTATGGTGGGGAACGAACGCGCTATTGTCCTTTCCGGGGAGTAACGCGTTCACCACCACACCGTGCGGGTCCTTCGTTTTGCCTGTCTCTCAGCTAGTTCTATCGATCTTTTGCCGCAGTAAACACCCGTCAGCGGGATTGATCCGGGGCGCCCAAATCGGCATAGAACCCAGTTAAGCTGCGGCTGTAGTTGAAATCACAATGTTATACCTTTTTATCTTCTGCCTACTATAATTTTGCGGCATGGTCCATAGACACTTGCGGTCCAGAGTTTTGCAAATATCTCAGCAACGTTGTGGTTGTATTTCGGTTAGCACCCTGCCGCAAAGTAATATATTCTTCGAAAATGTCTTCTTCAAACTATATGCAGAAAATTACCATGCTTTCCGGTTACGTTCATTAGCCGACTGGTTAATCGGCGCTCAGTGTCTGGTTAAAGTGCAACCTGAATTCAAATTCTCGAAATGATGATTTCACTTGCAATGGTTTCCAGAATCGACTTCATATTAACCTCGACACTGAATTATAAATTCGTCGTTTTCTTCCTCAGCAATCGCGAGGCTGTTAAACAGCATACGTTCACTTCCATGCAATGACACATATACAGCACAACCGTAGTTGACGTTTCGGCAGAGTCGCCGTCTTCAGAGCAGCTCTTTTCACCTGTCTTTCATTGAGGACGAACAGCCGCTCAGAAGCGCATATGATTGACGACTGCTTTCTCACACCTGTTGCTAAGACACAAAATCTTTTTAGGCTTATTAGGTTTACGGTTGGACGGCTTTGCTATTGTTATGGCGAATCAAGGTTTCAGCAGATTGGGTTAGCAGAGAAAATGAAGGGGTGTCACTATCAGTGCGTTACCTGTTCCCTTTTATCGGAGTTTAAAAAATATTTCCAGCTTCTCTGCCACAGTCTGTTTCTCTATTCGCTTCTTTACTTTCCTTAAAAAGTAACCAGATGTTAGCAATTTAACAGCTTTATGTTCGGATATCGTTAAACATTTTGAGCTTTGGAAGAATTGGTCAATAAAGTTTGAGATAAGTTGTATTCTTCTGTATCACGTCCAACATTCATGTTGCCGTCGTGATATGTTGTTTTTTTAATTCTGATTTACGTTGCCACATATTATTAAGCTGTTTATTTATTTATTTTATCTTTTTTATTTGATCTATCTTTACGACAACTGTGCGGATCCCAGCACTTCTCACATTCGACCTCTTTCCTGGCAACCCTGGTCAACGAAGATCTTCCAACTTTTGCGTGTGGCTTCGGTTGCTGTTCGAGGATCTTCATTTCATTTTGAATGTCGTAGAATGCTGGTCGAGAAATGATCCCTGAAGTCCTGAGGTAGCCGGGCTGGAGCATTCCAAATTGGGTCTCCTAATGTGGGTTTTTCCCAGACAAGTTCGGTACAGATCCTCCTACCCGAGATTTCGTTGGCCCGGAGGAGAATCGAAGTAGCACCATGCTAGTGATGACTGGCATCACTGCCACAGGGCTATCCGCCCCCTTGTGGCGAACATACTAGAGGAAAACTTTGCAATACACATTGTGGCACTTCACCCAAATTCCACAAAAGAGTTTGGCTGTTCGGAGCGACAGGACGAATTTGGTGAAGCATAATATGGGTCTGGACTAAGTGTGGAATAATTAGACAACACGCATTCTTGGCCAATTAACAACAGTGGTGACTTGAATTCCTTAAATGCCAAAGAAGCAGGCGGTTTTGCTAAAAATTGCTGTTAATGGAGGACCATTGGCCTCCGATGAAACTGCCCACCATTGAGAACTTGTTTTATGTCATCAAAAAGCTTGCAGTACTTGCGGTTTTGAAAAGAACATCGAGTTCATATAAGGCAAACTAAAACGTTACTAAAACGTTAAAAAAAAACTAAAAAAAAAACACCCTTTCCGGGGCGAACGTGCTCACCACCACACCATGCGGATCTTTCGTTTCGGCTCTCTGTCAGATAGTTCTATCGATCAGTGGCG